TAGGCCAGGCATCCTTTTTCTAAGGTCTGAAACAGCTCTCTGTGGACTTGTCTGCCTCTGGTATCCCAAACATCTCCCCTCTTTCTCCTCTAGTAACCATCCCAGCTCTCTGGTTTTGGTGTTTGGGTGATTTGGTGGTTTGTTGTTTTTATTTTTTTAAGAGGAGGTGGTTGAAACATCTCCTGTTGCTGTATCTGAGGTACAGGATATGCCTATGAATGTATGTTTATAAGTGACATAATTTATTTTAATCTAGTGGTTTTTTTCCCCTGCACTAAAGCAAAGGTCAAGACCTTAAAGGATCATGGATCTCTTAGCACAAGGCTTTCTGTCTTGAAGGCTTTCTGTCTCAAAGCCTGCACTGTTTGTGTCTCTGCAATGAAATAGATAAACAAAGAAAGCGTGTGTTGCAAAAAATAGAAGAAAGTTTGGATAGTTAAGCAGTAATTTCAGGATGCTGTGCATGGAATTTATCAGTGGTGCGTGCAGCTGAACAGTCAGTTTTCTGTAATAGTTTAAACACCAGCAGTTTTGTAATTAAAGCTGCGACGATCAGAAATTATCTGATGCTGACATAAGTTTGGCTCAGTTTCTTTCTCTGACCACTCTTCTTTAAAACTCCTTTTGACTTAAATGGTAGGTACAAAAATTTTGCACCCCTTTGTAGCAGTATGCTTGCTTGAGAACGTAAGTGTGTATTGGTGGCTAGAAGCGAGTTTTTCTGGGTGTCCTAAATGATTCCCTGCAGTTTTGATGGCATATGGCTTTCATACTTTCTGCTTCAGATGGTGTGTAGTGCTGCTTTGTGTCTTGTACCTCTTGGCTGCAGGAGCAGATTAAGTGAATCTATAAATAGTTCCTTGAACTCTTCCGTGGCATAAGTATTGCTCTCTACTACCCCAGACATACTGGGCACATTATTTTGTCTTCTTTTATGGTGTAAGGAGGGAGGGGTTCATTCTCACCTGTTCAAATACTTCTAGGTACGTGTGAAAAAAATCCCTCTCTATAACAGATGAATTTGTGGTAGTGTAAGGAAAGCCTCTGGTGGGTATTAAACCAGCTGGTATTTGTACATGTTTCACATTACAGTTTGAAGTATCAACCCGGGGCAGCATGAGTTGGGTCGCTGCATGCTTGGGGTTTATCTAGCAAATCACAGCGACAGAAGCAGTGCGATGACCCACTTAGAACGACATGTTCAGTCTCTTCAGTGTTCCCCATCTGCAGTGCTGGTTCCAGTTGTATGATTAGATAAGTGTTGAGGAAAAAAAATCTCGATGCAAGTGACTGAAGGTTTGATTATTTTAATATAGCAGTCTATTTCTTTGGTTCTTAAGTGGCACTTGTAGAAAATCTTGAAATAAAATTACTCCATTTTATTTTAATGTAAGACAGCCAAAAAGTCTTAAAGGACCAGATCCTTTAAGATATTTAAATAGCAATGTTCCAGTCACTTGGAGCTAGAGCTCAGCACCTAAAGTGGACACAAGGACCCTCTTGCATAGGGAGACAGTGGCTTGTGACAGAAAAGTGACTCCCCTCCTTTTCTGAGGGAAGTATAAAGAGTCACTGTGTGTAACTCTCTGGTAATTCTTCTCTGGTAGAAATAAATAATTACTCTTGGGATGTTTTTAAAGTGCTTTACTGATTTATCTGATGGATGGAAAATGTAGGAGGACTACTTTGCTATTCGTTTATGTGGGTGATGAAATAATGGCTTCCAAGTTTGTTATTTGTGTTGGCAGCAGGGAAGATAAATTGTTGAGATGTGAGTGTCTGTACTGAGGATAAGCCTAGCAACGCATTTCTGGTTGTCAGTCAACACTTCCCCCCCCTGCCCTCATGTCACTTGTGACGTAATGCCATCCTGCTGTAGTGGAACCCTCTGTGCTCCTTATCTGTAATTAAATGTGATGTCACTATACAAAGGCTGCTCAAAAAATTGCTGTAGGATAGTTGTTATAGGCATTAAAGCTATTTTAGTGAGAATGCTTTCTACTTTCTGGAAATGTAAAATAGTCTGTTACCACAAAACTTTGCTCCTTTGTGACCCCTGAGGAAACAGAAATTAAATACTTAAAGGCATAATTCTTAATACATTATGTATGGGATTTGCATTGATGCAAATGAAACAGGAGCTGGGAGTCCTGGGTGCAGGTACACAGTGTAACCAACCAGCACTTGCCAGTTAGGTACTAGAGAATGGAACTATCTGCTCTGCTCTGTCATGGGAGCAGTTAAAGAAGTAGTTTCTGCTCTCTGCCTGCACTCTAACTTTTCAGTATAACAAAACCAACCCAAACTAGAGATTCAGTTGGCTCAGGGCTTCTCTCTTGTGCAATTTTAGTTTCAAGCTAACATAGAAACTATTAGCACTACTGTGGGATCTGTTGACTTCAAAGGAGTTTGCTGTTAACTGGAGCAAAGGCAGGATTTCACCATGTAACTATAAATGTTGTAAGGGATTATACTTAGCAATGACCTAAGGTCCTTCTAGAGCTACTGACTTCATGTTTCCAGCTTCCCATGCGCTCATGCACTGCTTTTTCAAATGCACAGGAAGCACCTCGTGTTCCTGTCGTGGTTCTGTATATCAGCATTTAAAAGGCAACTAGTAAATGCCAGGCATCGCAGAATGACAACATGCTTTGCTTTGGTGTGGGTGACAGAATGTGAGACCTGCTAGGATGACCCTTTGCTTAGTTTGGGACATAGATCACTACCCTGAACTGCTCATGCATTAGTCTCCCTGGCTTGTTGGTATGTTACGGGCTTTCTTGCTTTAAGAAGCCTTTACCTCAACAGCAAACACACAGCTCGCTGCAGGGCAGGCACTGAGATCAACCGGTTTTTAGGGAATGCTGTGGTTATGTTACCTATTCGTCTGTAATGTAGCACAGCTCTGCAACAGACGATTTTATTGGAGTGGCACTGACTCTTCTTAGTCCTCTAGCACAGCTGCCAAGTCATAGCATTAAAAAAACCCACACAACCTAATAGAAATTAAGATGCATGCTACATGGGCTGATACGAGAAAAGGAAACTGGTTTGATATCTAATTTTCAAAAAAAAAATCTGCAAATATCTGAGACTTTTAATTGATTGATTCTGGTCTCTTCCTAAATATTAAACTGGCTGGACTCTAATTCACCAGGTCTCTTTTCCTCTGGTCTTAAGGACAAAGCACCACCTAGTCCTGTAGCATCTCCTTCATGAGTTTATAAGGGCCTATACAAGGAAACTCAAAAAATCCTTCAGTCTGTTCCTTAAATAGTGTAGTTGGGATTTCAGCAGACATAGTAGAATTGAATATATTTGGTTTATGTAGATATAACTTAAATATTTCTCTACTTTTTGATTAAAACATTGACTGAATTCTTTTCCTTAAGTGTCAATGACTTGCTATTCTCATTGCAATGACCTATATTTTCAATTTTTTGATCCACTTTTTGCAATTAGCAAAGGATTCTTTTTCACACCTTTAACCACTCAGACCCTTAATTACCCAGAATTTATTTTTATTAGGGAGACTATACTAACCAGCAGGTGTTACTAGGCTAGTTTTTATAGGAAAAAGGCTATTAAAGCACAGTACTTCCTATTTCTGACAATTCTAACAAGTATTGGCACAAAGCAGTAATTCAGTGATATCCTGAAGCCCACGATGGGTAACCCAGCAAACAGAAAGGACAAATCATACAATGTCGGGTTATGTATTCCAGTATTTGGTTGTCAGGCTGTAAGAGGAGGTGCATGTGGTGGCTTTAGGCAAACTTAGCATAGGAAAGACATATTTACTTCAGTGATACTAAATTAGGCCTCATCCAGATCGAAAGCGCTCTCAAAATTGACATTGCTTATACCGACAAAGGAGTTCCTGCTGGAGTTTTAGCAGCAGTCCCACTTTCAGCTACACACTTACAATTTATGTAGAGGTGGTGATGGTTTTGCATTTTCCAGCCTTGAAATCGTGAAGACAAAACTGAGCATGAATTGGACTCAAGGAAATGGGTTATTCCTGTCCAAATGCAGGTTGCTGTTGTACTGGATTCGTCAGGGGTAGAAACACAACACACACAGCGTTTGGGAGGAGACAGCCTGGCAAGGGCAGCCAGTGTGGCATGGTGAAGCAGTACCAAAGAGCTACTCTGAGGCACTGGCAGTAACTGTGTTACCAGTCAGTGAAAAAAAAAAAAACAAACAAAAACCCCACACCACCACACCACCCTTCCCGCCTCCTCCCACTGCCACCCTTCTCCAATCCCTAAAAGCTGCTGCTTGCATATTTTGCTTCTTGTTGAGGGTTTTTTTTGACAATTATTCCTTGACAGAAAGGCATTCCAAGCGTAAGATGTTCCCCCAAAATCAGTGTTTTTCTTAAACCTTGTTCCTATGGTGTCACTTTACATGGGAGTTCTTGTTTTGCTTTTGTTGAAGGATTAGGATGTGGGAACTTTCACCAGGCATAATGCGTTTAACATAATGGGTTATATAAATGGCCAGTCTTCGCGAGCGAAGATCCGGGGAAGGTCTTTCCACCTTCCAGCCTGCGCATTGGATTTTTTAGGTGAGACACAGTGTGCGCGGAACTGAGCCCACCCTTTAATCCTAAGGTTCATCTGCCGGGGCCAAGCGAGCTTGGACGGTGGCAGCGAGGTCCTCAGGACGTAGATGGTTACCATTGTGTATTTTACCTTTGTGCTTCTGGAGCGAAGGGTCGTTCTGGCAACAGAAGAATTATCTCAAATCAGCACATTCCGCACAGAAAATCCATAACCGTGCTGTAGCACTGAAGTTGCCTTGAGGATAATGACACAGAAGTGGACCAACTGAGAGCCCTAAGGCCAGTGGTAGTTGCCCATATATGTAACTGGTGTATGCTTGATGGTGGGGTGGAAAAAAAGTGAAACTATTTGCATACAAGCTTGAAGAGTTAAGCACTTTGCAATACGTAAGTAATATGTTACATGTATTTTGAGAAATGATGGAGGAAACAGTTGTGTACTCCAAGCAAAATTTATTAGAAGTCTATTCAAGAAAAAAAAACCAAAACACAGAGACCTTTTGCTTGTAGGAATTCAAAGTCGGTTACCTGAAAGTCAGGTATGAAAAACCTGCATTTTTCTAAAATCAGATACAGAGTAGAAACAGTACTTTTTAAATATCACAGGCAACAGATATTTAAGTCTTCAATCATAAATGGCATCAAAGATAGGTATTAATCTCACAGCAAAGCTGCATGCAGATCTAGTTTAAAATTGAAAGCCTTTGAATATAAAGCTTTTGCCATGAAATCTGCAATAATAAAGGTATGCTGCACAAAGATGTTTCTTTACCTTTGTCTTAATGACATTTCTCAGTAATAAAGACATATGTACATTTAGATTTGGCTGGTAAACCATATTTTAATTAATAAAATTTTGCATAAAATGCTATCTTACAGAATTGCACTATCCAGATGTGCTTATGGTAAACAGAGCAAGAAAAGAAAAATGCATTGAAATGTTCTGTATGTGAAAGAGGGCAAAGATCAAATAAGGAACTTAATTTTTTAAAAATCAACAACCAAATGGCTCTGTACAAAAAAGCAAACATATGTACAAAATGCTACAGAGACTACATACATTTTGATAATTTGGATCCTTTACCCATGAGAAATGCAGCAGAAGCTTTTGCCATCTATAAGGTGCTGAAGAAACCAAATCTGAGTTTTTCTTTTTATAAAGCCGTAGTCATTATCATCCTGTGCCTTAATTTTATTTGCTAATTTTATGCTTACCTTTGCTTATGGAAAATGTATGTTTTCAAATACTTGTTTCATTCAGGAAAAAAAAAAAAGAAAAAAACACTTCTAAAATGTATCAGTTTTAATACTTGTGACTTTTTTTTTCTGTCTAAATTCCTAAAAAGAGTGTGTAACTTGGGTTTCATTACTATACATATAGATATATAGTGAAGTAAATCAGTACATGATACTTGTGAATATTTTTCAGGTGGCTATGTTAGGAAAAAAAAAACCAACCAAAACCCAACAACCCATTGCACTAACACTGTTTACTTCCTGCTTCTTAAAATTCCTGATATGTAAAAACACTAACCTCTTAGATTTCATGTTGCTTACTATCACAACATTTTGATTACAACCATTTAGTATCAGACATCAGTAGCAGGTTATTATTGCCTATGCTTATACCATTGTCTGTCTCTTCCTTAAATCCTCTTTCCCAAGCCTTTATGCCTTTTTCACTTCTCACCTTTTAACAGAAAACACTACAGGTTTGTTAGGGGGAAAGAAGAAAAAAAGATTTAGCCAATACCATTGCACCCGTTCAGAACACTTGCAGTTCTTCCATTTTTCACTATGCTTGCTTGAGATTTTACAATCACTGTGCACATGTTACAGCATACAAGTGCAGGCAAAAAAATCTATATTATAGTTTGTCATACATTGTAAACCAGTACAATAGGCAAACCCGTGATACAGCAAGTGGAAGCAAAAAATGCTGCCAAGCTAGTAAGAATGTGGAAACTCAAACAATTTTTTTAAAAATAGTAAACAGCAACTTTCCCCTGTATTACATGCATGCTGAAAAAAATCCCACCAGACTTCACGGTAGTACCACAAATGTTCAAACCAAGCGTAGTTTCTCCCCCTTCCCCCCACCCCCCCCATGGCAATTCCTCTGTGTACCTGTCCTCAGGCTTTTCCTATTGTGTTTCACATGAAAAGACTTTAAAGCAGGGAGTGTTTAAATGCTGAAATGATTCCTCTTGTCTCAGAAAAGCTTAGTTATTCTCACTGTGGTCGTTGCTGTAATACTGCTGGAACGGTTTGGTGGGTGGGATGGGATGAGGATGAACTAGGTGGCCTCTATTTGAGACTGCAAGCAAGAAAACAGAAGGCCAGCGTAGCATGTTTTCTAGCAGCTTTATGCAGATGTGTTGCAGAGATGCAGCATAAATAAGTAGAAAAAAAATTTTCACAGCCTCTTGACATAGTTTCCAGGGAAAGTACCAAACAATTTGGTTCTTCTCGAGGTTCCTGAAATTAGAAGCAATAAATGAAAGATGGGAATAACAACAGAAAATCACTATGTAAGCATGGCCTTAAAATTTGTATGTTTAATATTGCACAAACAGAAATATCTACAGTTCCTTTAACTTCAAAAAATTACTTTTAATTTCATTTGTGAGTTGTGAGTTTTAACAAAGCATAAATGGAGAGAGTGAAAAGCAAATGAAGAGGCATATTTGATTAAATTGTTAGGCCTTGATTAAGAGCTGTTCTAAAATTCTTGGTACACAGAAATAATTTAATTTCAAGTCTATTTAAATAATTTCAATTTTTTTTAAGTGCTAAGGACTAGTCAGATGATTAAGTTAGCTACACATGCATGAGGGTTTATGAAATGATTAAGCTACTTTATCTAGGCCTGGTTATGAAATCTCTGTTTGTTCAGTAATGCTTGGTTCTCACAAGTAGTCAATTTTGTAGATGTATTCATGTAAGTAAGATTTAAGTTACCTGGTCTTTATGAAGAGAACAGTAATACATAGGCCATTTTGTGTCACAAATGACAACAATGCTATACAACAAACTGCAGATGTGCCAATTTGTGTTCATCAGTTTCAAAAGATGAAAGGGCAAAATCATCCACTAATTTCAGTGGATTTTGGTTGGTGGGATTTCTCCTGATAAAGCCAGGTTCAGGTTTATTACACTGAATACCAAAAATTAAGTTGTTTAAAAGACACTAAACAAAGAGAGTAGTAAAGGTTAGGGAAAAAAAAAAGAAGAAAGAAGCAACCAAATTAAAACATACCCACAAACCATCCATCATCACATTTTTCCATCACATCAATGACATCTCCCTCTCTGAGCTCCAATTCATCTTCGTTCCTAGGAGTATAGTTATATAGAGCCTGAAACCTTAAATAGGACAAATGATGCGTTTTAAAAAGAAGTAAGAGTTCCTTGCACCTTTGCTGAAGTAAAGGAGCTGGCTTAAACATTAGCTAACAAGTAACACTTGCAAATAGAGGGGAAAAGTATTTATTTTGCCTGGTGCACTTGAGAGTTAAGAACTTAGAGTAAATTAAAAAAAAACTTCATTGGAAAGATCTGACACTGAAGACTGGGTCTGCTCCTCAACCAGTGGCCTTGAAAACAGATTTATTTTTTTAGCATTCTTTTACAGTTGAGTCACCAAAACTGAGGACTTTTACGGGGGAGTCTGTAGATGCATTAGCACTGTAACCCTCCGTGATCAGCATCGAAAACTGTGGCTCTGACCTTAAGCTCTCTGAAGCAAGGACCACCAGCACAAGTGAGGTGTCTGTGGAGGAGGCTGCCCAGGACAGCAGCTCACACACATTGTCACTGTAACTGAGGGACCTCCCTGGGCTCCTCAGCTGCAAGTCGTGTGGCAGGCCTTTGCTCTGATATAAAAGAGGTGCCCTCCTCTATGGAGCATAATTGTTATTTGGAAACTCACAGGGAACCTGTTCTCTGGTTAAAGAGGTTTGAATCAAATCAGGGGACAAATGCATGGAAACTCAAACAGTATTCAGACACTGACCTGTGTCTCCAGCCCTGGCCAGGAGCTGCAGATTGCAGATGTTAGGTGGATGAATGGAAAGAGGTATGAGATTCTTTGACAGGCTTAAATTGAGGTTTTTTGAATTGAAAGAATGGCAATAAACTCACTAGGGGGAACTGAAGGCACGGGCTGACAGCCCACAGGAAGATTGCTGCACAAGCCTGTGAGTCCTGCAGAGTCAGAATCTGCCTTTTTTTTTTTGTGGAAGCAACTGTGCCCCACATATGACTGACTGCATATAAAGAAGCAGGGTACAACTGCAGAAATTGTACAAAGTAAATAGTTTTAATTTCAAAATACTGAAGCAAAACATAATCATATCCATTCCTTCCGTCTTAACAACAGTTCACTGAATTTTAAACCTTAACGCCATTATACTTCCCCCAGTAAAAACAAAATAGCTTGCCAGTTGATGTGCTGGTACTGAGTATTTCAGTTATCTCTGTATCATTCCAGCAGTTTTCATGGCTTAAATGAGATGTTTAATTTAGTAAAAAATTCCTGCTCCTGAAAGTCCAGCTTGAAAATCCTACATACAGAGTGGTGCTAGGTTTAGTTTAATGATGGCCTTCTTGACTAAACTACACTTATTTTTCACATTGCTGGTTTGGAGAAAAAAAATGAAGATACTGTTACAAGAAAATAAAGATTTTAACTTAATTTCTCGTGACTGGCAGTTATCTCCGTAAGTCTGAAAAGTTCTATTTTTATATTTTAATCACATTAACAAAATGGAACAAAATTGGTTGTTTAAGCAATTACCTCTGGTAACTTGTGTTGCAGGAGTAACAACAACCTGTGCAAAAAAACTAACTGGCAATAACATTTTCTGTTATGCTTATCATCATTCCAGGAAAGCAGAGCTATAGTGATATTCCAAAAAATTATTAAATGCAGCTTCCAAGGGGACAGGAGTTGCAGATGTAATATATCATGTACAGGATTCACACCAATTAATTACTCAAGTACAGTAACAAGGATGTTCCAATTAATGCTTTTTTTTTTCTACTTTTGAAATTGAATCTTAGTAATTTCCAGATAATCCATTTTAATAACTCCACTGTAGTAATTTCGTTCTCTCTGTGCTAATCTAAGACTTTCTTAAGTATGAAAACTCTAATATCGTTAACAACACTGACAGAATACATATTCAAAGCAAAGAATGGTTGGTTGGCAATTTAAATGTATTTCTATTTTTAATTTTAGGAATAAATAAATTTAGTAATGAAATACTTAAACAATATCAAACAAAATGAAATAGATAATTATTGCTTACAAAACCGAGTTAGGTGCTTCAGTATGCTCAACAATACCAACAGGAGCTTGTAGTTTCAGTGAGATTAAAACTAAATTATATATAATCTGTGGTATAGCTGTTTGATAACTTTTTGCCACTCTTTTCTCTCTTCAAGTGACTAACAGGTAAACTTTAAAATATTTTTAGACATTAAGCCTTAGATACATTTATGAGAAATTATCTAACTGAGCATATGCTGAAGTGCTCTGATGCTAGAGGAAGAATGGCTCCTGGTTTCAATGATCGTTGAAGCAGGACTCAAATGCAAGACTCAAGGAAAAAAAAGGTATCTTGAAACACTCTTGCACTGAACTTGCATTTTAATAGTCAGCACCGAAATATTCCAAGCATTTAAACTGTTTGTGAAAATAAGACTTGAGGTCTAGGTTCTTCTCCAGTTTTCAGAAATGCTTTCCTGTATCTCATATTTGAATTGCACTTGTAAATCACACCAAAAAGTGTGAGCCTTTGTTCCTGTGATCAACATTATCAAGTTATTTTTTTCTCTGTTCACATCCAGAACTGTTCCTGAATAATTTGCATCAACTCAGTAGAGCAGATGAGTTGAATCAATGTTAAATCTTTACTTGCAATGTTAAATCTTTAACAAGCAGAATCTTGTCATTCTGCTGAGATGTAAAAATGGAGAGAATAAAGAAGAGTCAAATTTTACTTTTACAAAGTTATTACTCCTTTGAAGTACAGACAATGTAAGTTGTCACGTCTGTCTGCATTTGATGTAAATTAAACAACTAAGGCTTTGCCCTCTGTGACCTTCTTGGATATCTTCCTACATCGTGCATTTTTCTGTAAATAATCTCCAAAATCTCTTTGTAATTGTACTTGGCAAGTTAACAAATTATCTGATGATGTGCTGGCTACTGTTTAAATGTTAGGTTTTGATTTAATAGACAATAAGTATACTTACGGTTCCCCCCCACTGTGTATGTTTTCATGAGAAAGCACAGGGCGCTGTGGCTGAAATGAAATGATTTGAAATGTAATAAAGATTTGCAGTTTAAGGTCCAAATAGTTGAATAGGGGTGTGACACACAGTTGCTCAAGAACCTTGTGTAAAACAACAGCCCATTCTGTCCCCCCTCCAATAAATTCTTAAGAGACATGACAAAGAAACATGACTGAATCTTGGCAGGTTTAAAGATCCTATTTTTTGAGGCCATAATAAAAACTAAACAAACTGTGAACTTTATCAGTCCATTCTATTCATAGTACAGTATAAAGCTGGAATACAATCCATCAGCCTCTTCACTGTGAAACAGAAATAACATTAGAAAATTCAGTTGCAACGACTGAACATCATACATTCTTTGCGTGAAGTATATTTTTAGATAAGCAGAAAAAAATCTCCCATACTTAATGGCAGAATCCAGAATATTTATAGACAAAACCCATACCAATTTACATTAGACACACACAGAGTACTAACTTAGCAGGCATAACATGCTATGCTTTAATTACTTCTATTTCATCTCAAGCCATGCAGGCTGTTGGGAGTCAAAGAACAGAAGGAATTTTTGAAAGAATACATTTAATTGTTTGAAAATAACAATTAACACTTTTACTTCAGCAGAAAAAGTAGTTTGTATTTCCAGTGCAAAGCTTTATAAAAGGAACTATGTTCCTTCTTAATGGAGCATTACCCACCACTAATATTCAATAAATCTGGATGCAATGGAAATGAAAAATATTAACCTCCTACAGAAACCATATCCTGCTTAGAAAGTCATTCACTTAGACTGATTAGAATCTGGCTGGGACCCGAAACAGTGCAGGAGCAGCTGCTTGGGAAAGCCCTTGATGTGAGCAGGGATCATATTTGCTGATGACTGAGAATGCCTTATGGTCATGATGTAGAGACAAGTCTGGGAACCATATCTGTTTTAGAAGTGTGGATGTAAAATATTGCTCATAGCACTTTCTTTCATGAATTGAGCAAACTGTAACCTTATTTTTAAGCCATGGAATTTGTCTTATTGCCCCATGATTCTCTCTTGGTTTTACTATTTCAGTTCACTCTTGAAGACAATGGAGTCTTCAATGAGAGAAGGCAGCAGGAAACAACCCAGAGTGATAACAAAAATTGAAAGGAAGAACACTCTATGTAGTTTGGGGTTTTTTGCTTATTTTTCTCCCTTTTCCCTCTCAACATCTCCAAATGAAATTAATGAAGTTAAATTTCTTTTCATCAGTTTGTATGTGTATGTGCAGAAAATATGGTGAAGTCTGCACTTTATCTGTACAGTCTATAGAGTGTAACTTTTAAAAGGTTCCTAAAGATGCAGGCAGGAGGATTACAAATTTTTAATTTGTATTATTGAATGCTAAGTGGGAAAGAGGTTTTCAAAGTAAAAGAAAAGATTTTTTAAGCTCTTTACTGTCTTCTCTCTCTCATTTAACTCTCCTCTGCCAGTGTACAAAAAGTTGTGCAATTTTTACCAAATAATCCAACAGTAAAGATTGTAAATTAAACAGTTCTTAGTAAAACCTCCTTCAATGGCTGGCTTGTCAAGCAAGAAGAAAATAGTCTATTGGGCAGAATGCTTTGTATTTAGACTGGAATCTGACCTTATTTTCTGCTAATCTTTCATCAGGTTTGTAACTGACCTCACTGCCACAGACAGAGATGCAAAAGAACTCAAATGAGGTTAAGGATTTTTCCTAAAATGAAAGTCAACGTCCTAAAGAATGCTATGAATGATACAATGCTTTGAACATAATACCAAGCCAGGAAGAAACTGGGTAAGTCAGTCAGTATTATCTTCTTTTTCTGCATATGCTTCATCAAATGTTTTATTGCTAATTAACTATTTTAGAAACAGATAATAAAAATCAAGGTGACTGAAGATTTTCAACTGTATGTTATTGCCACAGAGAAAACTTTGACAAAATCAGTCTTGTGAAAATAGGGTGAAGTAAATGGTGGTATGTCTGAAGAGGGGGACCTTGGAACTCACTCTCTATTTGAATGCATTCCACAATAATACCCTAGCTGACATCCAGAAGCTTTCTCCTGTTTTCTTTCCCTAAGCTCTCATTCCCACATACAGTGACATTAGCTGGATAGGGGACTGTTGCAAAGACTGTTTCTAGTTTTCAATTACTCCTCTACTTTCAACTACTCTAGGTTACTAGAATATCCTGTTTTCTGGGAAATACTGCAAGATCTAATCCCAAAAACATTAAATGTGCAATCAAGTCAATGGTCCCAGTTGTATCCCTGATTTTCATGCATGAATTAATATGCACTTGCGTACAGTCCTGAGCATGCAAATTAGGTGCATGATTTGTGCTCTTCTAGTTTTGGAATTAAAGTAATAAATACACTACACATTCACCAGTACACCTCTCTTAACATACTGGTTACATGTCATTAATCTGGAGGAACATGCTAAATGTAATACCTTTTTTATGGATCTCACTCTAAGCAGGAATTCCAGTGAGATGGTGTTGGTCCACTACTACAAGAATCTTGTCCTTCCTATCTATGACTGAACTGTCTTTCTTCACTGATGAGGAAAACACTGTCTTTTCATACCTGGTAGTAAACACAGGCTTGCCAAAAAGCCAAGACTTTGAAAGTTACACAAACCTGCATATCTTAAACTAAAATTCAAATTTTAAAAAGGGAGCCACCAGAAAGATGATCACCTAAAATCAGCAGGAACAGTGTGGAAAATAGTTCATCCCATTAACTCCTTTAAGAGCTATATGTTAAGAAACCAATGCAAAGAATAATTCAGTCCTAAAATGAAAGTAAAATATAACCCATAAATTCTCATTCTCACATAGTTTAGGTTGTGTGGGGTCTTTTTTTTCCATAATGCAGATCACCTTTTGAGCAAAGTCCATGCAAACTCTAAACAACCTGACTTTCTGGCTAGGTAGTTAATGTTACAGATAGGAAGGGATAGGCTAAAGGGTATGAAAAGCTGGAATGACACAGCTTGGATAAAGAGAACAGTATTGAGTGAACATCACACCACAACAAAAAAACATTTTGAAAAATAAGGACATGGATTCAAACCCAAGAATTCAGTCCATATACATGCAAGAGCCTGTATACATGCAATGTGTATAAATTTTTGACTCTTGGAAGCTGTAATTTTAATAAACTAGAAATGCTTTGAAAGAGAGGAGTAATTTTAATAAAACCAGACTAAATATAAAGAGCTTTGATCTCTTCATCTTGTAGCACTGGAAATACCATGCACTACTGCAGAGATACAAAACACTAATGGATTTATATAATGAGTTTTGGCACACGCAGACCTGTTGCCTTTACTCAGACATAGCACAGAAGCACAACAGGAAGAAAACAGAGCATACTGATAGAATTGAGACACTTGGGCAAAAGCAAAATACTGAAGGACTAGACACTGAGCTCCTTGTCCATGGAAATGCTGTTATTGCACACTGGGCATCCAGTACCATACCCTGTGTGAATAGCTGTGACCTCTGACAGGTGAGCTGCAGGATCTCTTAGTCATCACTGGGCTACGAGGAGGCTTACCCATAACAAATATCTCTCTCTTTAAATTAGCCTAGAAGAACCACAAAAACTGTGTCAAGCGCGAGTTCAAGAATGAAGCATCACGGGATTTTTGTTGCTTCATTCATACATGCAAATCCAACATGCTTTTCTTGATAACAAAAAGCAATGAGTAGAAATAGGTACTATTAGTACACAGTATTTCCATTGTTGCCACTGTATCTTTTTTCCAAGTTTTGCTGTTCTAGCACATGCCCTTACATGTAACAGTTCTTCCATGTTCTACCCCTGAAACAGCTCAGTTGGTAATACAGAAAACTCCACAGCATAAAGCAGAAATACTACCTTAGAAATACCAATGACAAATGTCATAATTTCTTGCTGTTAAACAGAACAGAACCCTTAAATTTGCATTGAGAAAGCAAGTAAATTCTTGATGGAAAGTACTTCAAGAAAATATCCTCGTTTTCTTAGCATCACTACAAATCAGAAAACTATTTGTCAGAATTCAGTTCTTAAGGGGTGTGTGTCCAGCAAATGTGAACTCTCAGGGGCAGGAGTGAGCTGGGGGGAATGTGGAGGGAGTGGAGTGATGATACTGAAAACCTTTTCTCTGGTATTTGTGAGTGTTTGTCAGTAGAATGTGACAAGATAGAAAAATAGCCTCCTCTTTGGAGAGGGGTGAATAAGAATACCAGCAACAACAACAACAACAACAAAAAGGTTACCAAGAGAGTCCAAGGAGGCAGAAAAATGTCAGCATTTCTCCTTGGGACACGTCTTCAGAATTCTTCTTTTGGAGGACATCCTCCCCCCAATATGGTGCAAAGTAGCATTTCCCACCTGTAGTTCCTTGTATTCCATTGCCCAAATCCCTGGTCATGCTTTAGATTTCAGCCACATTCCAAATATATTTACATACACACATATACGTATGTACGTACGTATTTTTACATCAACAAAAATTACAAAAGTATCAGTATACAGTTTCAAGAACTTTCTGAAGAACCCCCCTTCAGTTGTGAAATTAGAGTTTTCAAAATATCTCGTGTTCTTTCTGCTGTGGCAGTTGAGAGCAGACCTTAATGATGGGAAACACGCATAAAGAGAAGAGGATAGGAACTGTCCTGTCTTCTCAAGCCCCATCTGGCAATTAAGCAAGAAATGATGGCAGCCAGAACCTGCTTACACTTAATCCAACTCTCTATCCTGGCAATGTCAGTGTTGACTACTGAAAGAAGTTTCCCTACCCTTGGGAGGAAAAGATTTATCTGATTTTAGAAATACTGTACAAAAAAATCTGTCATTGGTAAGAGTGCATCTAATAATTTTGAAAATTTTCAAATAGGTAAGTATATACTGATTAAGTTTATAAAGGAATCTGTTCCTGAGATTTAAAAAATAATCCAGATTTGAAATTACTGAAAACAATAATTAAGACCTAGAATGCTATAACAAGACCCCAGACCTCCCGTTCTTCTGGGTACTCAGGCTCTTGTGTCTGTAAGATGGAATCGTGCCCCTTGGTTATTTAATGTCTTGCCTCCTGCCTTGTCCATTTAAGAGCAATACACTGCCTAGGCGGTTTCCTGGGGCAGATATTTTAACTCTCAAAACAGATATTCCTTCTGTTTATTTTCAACTGAGATTAACGTACCTTGACATGCTCAAACAAGGGCAAAGAATATGAGGGTCAACTGAAAAGAATTTCAGTGTAGAAGAAGGATTTTCTGAATTTTGCTGGTTAGGCTAAGCAAAAGCATCAAAAGCACTGCACCAACTGATAAATTATTAAAAGTTGCAAAAACAAGTGCAGTACTCTGTTTTACTCTTTCTTTGAGGTGGAATGTACCTAAGCCCATGACAGATTCATGCCCGGGAAAGAAGCCTTATGTCTCCTCCCTACTTCAGGAAAAATTCCAACTGATCTGGTAGATCTTAAGATTTCCTTAAGTCCATTACATCTGTGTTTCTTGTGAATGCAGGTTGTAAGACAGGATAGAGATAAACAAAACAAAGCAAAACAGAAAGCAGGATTTCTGGCATAGATGTAATGATCAGCTTTCTAGGATAGTTTCTTTTTGCATGACTTCTCCTTTCATGAGCAAATGAACTCCCTGGAAGTCAGCACTGGAAATTAACTTTGTCTACCTAGAGCAACTCTTCAGTTTTGATTTTTTTCTGCCAGAGCTGCAATGCTGACACAAACTGTAATCCTGAAGAGGGAATAATCTTCGTCCAGTCCTTGACTAACAGAATTGGTATTTAGAGCATGACTCTGCAGTGATGCTTTACTGTGAAATTTATGACTGTTCCTCCAGGCATTGGATTGAAATTGAAAACACAAACACAAATGTTACCTAGTTTCTGTGTACTTGAATTCAGTTCTGTTCTATGCAATTAAATGAGTTACTCTATTTACTCCGTTGTCCTCGTATGGACTGGAAATTGAGTGGAAGCTTTCTGCTTTTCTGTCACTGGTGTCTCCTTAAACCATTTCATTGTATCATAATGGGCAGTTTTATCTTGTTTCATTTGAAGAAGGCCTATTTTAATACTACCTGTGTTAATGTTATTTAATATTAGTAAATATTTAATATTAGTAAACAAAACAGTACCTCTGAAAAGATCAAACTCAGTGTTAGCCTTGCAGTTATTTAATATACATGAAGATTTGCAACAATCCATAATCAAGAGGTGCAGTTACCTTTAACTGTGGTGAGTCTTTCTCCTGCTGATGTAACGGTTTAGAGAGGAGGGGAGGTGGGAGGGAAGCAATAGACTGGTATGTTGTAGGAACGGAGTGGAAAGTAGGTGCCTTGGCAGAGTGAAGTGGAAGATTGGAAGAAAGGTGGAAAGGAGGATCAGAGTCTTCTGATGTTCCCACAAAAAGTAGAGCTGGCTTAAATGTTCAAGAAAAATGAGAAGTTGTGCTATAAAACCAGCTGTGAAGGATGTCAAGTGCTCAATAAGGAGACATGTAACTAATCTGAACAATCACTAATGTCATGCTAATTTTATTATTAGTCAGTCTACATTTCTGGAAGAGATTTCTTTTCTCAGAAATCACAGAAATGTTGCCATTTGTGGCCATGGATTTCAACTCTATTCTTATGTTTTTCTCCTGTGTTTTTCAGGTTAAATAAGGGTAGAGATAGCCTGAAAAATCTTTCTAGTTAACTAGTTTTAAACTTGGCCAAAAACATACTGCCCTAAGCATCTGATTTGCATGTTCACAGCCAAAGCTGATGCCTGAACAGTCTGTTGAAGTGCTGGACAGAAAGAAAGTCTGTTCTAAAACTTTGCCTAGAAACCACACAAATAGTGGTATTGTGGCATTTAATGGCCAGCACACATTTGGGATAATTCAGGGATGTGCTGTCCCAAAGAGGAACTGGGGAGGGTTTCAGGAGGAAGCATTTGTCTAACTGCCAAACAGAATCTGATCTGTTATTATTAGTCACATTCTCGTAACAGAGCCTGCTATAAATATATCAGCTGGTGAAGTGACATATGGGAAGTACAAACCACAGGGCCTCTGGAGGAGGCATGTCCCTCCCTTCTGGAGAACTGGGGCCTTCTGGCTCAAAAGGGGCAGCACAGAATGAGACAGTGAGGAAAATCATTCACTGGCTTTTTACATCAGAAGCTCAATGGCAACCAACAGGGACAGAAGGACGAACACAACTGATGCACTACAGAATTTACAGCAGTGCATATGCTTGCTTCTGAGAAGGGACTATCCCTTAACACTGACAATTTTTAATTGTAGAATCATAGAATGGTTTGGGTTCAAAGGGACCTTAGTGTGTAGTTCAAACCTCCTGCCATGGGCTGGGACACCTTTCACTAGATCAGGTTGCTCAGAGCTCAAATTTTATCGAATGTAACTGCATAAAGCTGTGCCTGTGCACAATACAAACATGTAAATGTAAGTAAAGGCAGAGAATATTTATACTAAGTTATCTGAATAGAGAACCCAGGTATTTCAGAAATTAAAATACCTTATCAATATTTGGTGAATTGTATCCTTCATAACAATCCATAGAGCCTCCTCCACTTGCTACTGGGAATTCTAAACTGTCATGTACCAGATCCTCCTCTATATAGAGTCTTGTCAGTTCTTCGGTTGTGTCTTGTTCTTCGTAGAAATCTGATTCTTGAGGCTTTGACTGATCCCCTATATTAAGTGACAGATCTGCAGTAAAGATTTCCTCTTCGTTTTCAGCAGTTGTAGCTAGCACTCTGGACTTGGAACCACCTTCATAGGGTGAAGGGATGTTACGGAGAGCGCCAACATGTTCACCTTCTCTTGTAGTATCTAACAAGTCTCTAGGTACTTCAGTAACTAAAGGGTCAATTATATCTCTCAAGCCTTTATCTTTTCCTGATTTGGTATTGTTGCTGACGTGTTTATATGCTATGTCATGAGATGAGCTGGCTGAAGATGATACAGAGGTAGATACAAGAAAGGACAGAGGAAGAGCTGTAGAAGAGCTGAGAGACACTTCTGTATTTGGAATAACATGATCATCCTTAACTTGGTGAATGCTATTACCTGGGGATATTGCTACAGTTTGAGAGGTTGATAATGCCAAAGAATTGAGTTCTTCTAAGTCACAAAGAAAACTGTCTGGAACTGATGGAGAAGTTAAGTTGCATGTGCTTGAAGGCGAAACACCAACAGTCCTTGAAAATAAATCACTAGTGGCAGCCTGGAGAATCTTTTGATCAATGTGTGACCAAGAGGAGGAAAGTTGTCTGGAAAGTGGGAACAGTGCTTGGGAAGGCAACTTCAAAAATAAGAACAACATGGGAATTCAAATAAATAAGCATGACAGAGAATTAGGATATGCGTAAACTGAAAAAGAAAAACGTCTGTGTGATCATCTGTATTACAGGGTACAGTTTCAGTGACCATGGGTGTCTGAAATCACTACTACATGAATCAGAACAGCAGGAAAGACATTTGAAACATGAAACTGTATCAGGTTCTGGCTTGAGGCATAAATGTCAGGCATTAAGACAGAACTGAATCATTACATTCATGAAGGCAACTTGCATTTGATCTGCTAAAGTTATGTTATTTATGGTGCTCTGTTAGTGAGCCTGTCACAAGTTATTAAATCATACAATTAATATTAACAAAATTTTCCCCAAACCATTACTATTATTTTGAGAATAGCACTTGCAGAAATACATTTCAGGTGTCATTAAGTATTTCTTTTAAAGTATAAAAACTGAGGTGATTTCCAATTATTCAAAGTTAATACTTCTACTTTTTCTTAATACTTCTGGGTAAATGTTTAAGAAACATCTTTAATACATTGCATACTTTTATTAAGGCATGAACAGCTACAGAATGTTTTTTTTCAAAAGTAACCCTATAAGTTCAAAAATGACATCAACACTTGTGAAAGGTACATTCAATTCAAATTGAATGTAGGCAGTCAACAATGCTTTTAAAATAGTGACAGCACAGTATGCAGCAGTATATTTTGAGTAGTGTTACACAATATTGATTGAAGCATCCTTCTGGTAAAGAAACGTCCTTTTCTAAGAATGAGAGACTGGTGAGTCATACGTACACAGCATCAGTAGATATCCATTGCTTCAGTAAATACTGAAAATGCATTTTTGTTACTGTTAACCCTCAAAATTAAAACTGAGTGAAAAAATATTTTGATCTCATTGTTACAACTATCCAGAATAATTAGATGTAATCTCTAAGTTATCTGGACTACTACAGACTTAAGTATTAATGTGCTATTTCAAAAGTCTAAATTAATGTCACAGAATAGGAAGGTTAATTTACTTACCTTCTGCTTGAGTTTTCTTGAGGCAAATAGCTTTATTTTATAGTTAGACAACCTTTGTTACAGGGTCTTCTGTAAGCAGCCTCTAATGTATGGTATTAAGGGCAATAATAATGCAGAAGAGACATTGCCATTTTTTAGTTTCCCATGGCTACAAGCTGTACTAGGTCTAAAGATACAGATGGACTAGGCAAAGTTATGGACAGCAAAACTTGCTCCTGACTTTTATTGCTTATTTATTTTATTGCCATTAGGCCAGAGAACTTTAGTGCAATTGCTCTAGTAATCTAGAGATATGTGGTAAAAACCTCCAAAGGAATAGGAAAAGTGGTATCAGTAAGTCTGGTGAACTCCAGAAGACCTTCAGGACTGCTGAAGTTCTTCTAGGTAGTCGGGAACAACATGTCTTCTTACATGGTACTGCCATTTCTGAATACAGTTTAATACAGAAACAAGATGTCTGTCTAAGAGTCTCAGTAGAAGTTTGGAGGTTTTTTTTTAAACTTATGCTAGAACCCAATGATGGCATGTTACAAGGAAGGCTTCTTCCAATGTAGTCCCCTACAGAACTAATTTAGTAATAACTAATTTAATAATAGTGGCAGCATGGTTTTGTAATATGGATATAAATGCTCTGAAGCATCACCTGTGCTCAACATGGGTTATGCAGGTTACACAAACACCAGCTTTAGCTGCAGGACACCTTAGAGACAAGCCTGCTCCATATAAAATGTGGAGAAGCACCTCTGAACAGAGAGACATCTCCAGAATATGGAGCACCTAAGCTGCCTCCTACTCTTGATTTGCCCTCAGGTACCTCTGGGTTCCTATAACAATAAGGAGTCCTAGCTTATGAATACCTCAGTTGGCAGCTACAGAATTTTATGCTACTTCAACAGTTTTGTTGGAATAGAAGAGAGAGGATCTAGATCTCTGTTGTGAGATGTTCTGGAAAACCAGACAAGACCTGTTCTAGCAACTGTCCCAAACCAGCTAATATTGTTTAGTCATAAGCACTATGTTCAGAGGCCACTGTTGCCTATAAATGACATTTTGGGTAGCTTTTTACAACCCCAAAATTGTAAATAAGTGTGGAACTTATTTCAAAGTTGATGCATGTAAATGAGCACCAGTATTCAAATACTGTAGAAAAAGGGACAAAACCAACTGAAAGAGAGATTAATAGCAGGATAAGAAGTTTATAATTATACACTGCCCAATGATGAAGAGATAAAGAACAAAGGTAAAGAGGAAGATTTAGAAAATTTTCCATCTCGAGCTTTCAAAATTATCAATACTACGTTAATGCTAATCACAGTTTGTATGCAGAAACTGTCTTTAGTTTCTGTCACTGCCAAAGATGTTCCCTGCACAGATGACTGTGAAATCTCACAAGTGAATGATAAATAGTAACACAGGAATCTCTCTGCAACATCCTGTAGTATGACCTGGGGTAGTTGTCTAGACTAGGAAGGAAAACAATTCAGAACCTATGACACACATTTGGTGTGAAAAACTAAAACTTTTAAAGGTCTGAATCCAAGTTCATTAACAATGTGTGAAACAATTTAGGTGGTACTGTTGTACCACCCCAAAGAATGTAACAACAGCCTCCTTGTAGACTGTAAATGGCAAAAGGAGGAAGGTTTTAGTACAGGATCACTATTTTTCTTTACTTTGAAAGGCACAGAACTGGTCCTGGCAAGCTGTGTCCTGCATGCTTATGTGACCATAGGCTTTTAGTACAGCTGTGTTATGGGAATGTCTTCACACTGCACTATGAAAAGTCTACTTGATACATACTTAATGCTCAAATTCTTGCTAAGATTCCCAAATACAATTTTTTTCCATTGACTTGATTTTTCTGCCTAAATTTTGCCTAGCCCTACTCTCAGTAACATAACAGCTAATGAAGAAAAGACCATAAATCCTGGCAGACTGTAAGACACACACTTGGCTATTAAAATACTTTATTAACAAGACAGTAATGCAGTTCTACCTATGAAGGAAAGAAAATGTAGTATGTTTAATGCCTAAGTTATCTATTGTGTTAAAAAAAAATTACACAAACACCCACTCTAGGGGTGACAGCAAAGAAAAAAAAAATCCTTACCTTAGTTGAACTTAAGTTGTGTATTCTGTCACTAGAATAGCTTTGGGGGATTGGAGGGTCAGGATAATCATCAACACTTTTTGATGCATTCTTTTTGATGACTTCTACATAGGAAACAGGGAAGATGCCTTGTCTGTTGGTTCCTGGTATTTTACCTTCATACCAGTTTTGATCAACTCGCTTGAGAAGAATTACTCTGTCTCCCTGAAATGCATTATGAAAATGAGTTATCAGCACATACACTGTAAGAGTATTTTGTGAATAGCAGGTATTATTTTAACACACAGTATCATCTTCCCTGCAGAGCAGGGAGTTTCCCATCAGTCTTGAGCATCATCTCCATTTCCACATTTCTACTCCCACTTATAATAACTGTGTATAAAACTACCAGCAAAATTCCAGCAAAATGAGGGGCTAGTCAAGACTAAAATGCTATTATTTTTTATCAGAGGGGAATCTCACTTAGTCTTCTACTCTTGGTTGCGAGAATAATATTAACACTTTTCTTTGGAACATAACCTACTTTAATTGCTGGCAAAACTACCAGCTAACACCCTCACTATCATATGCAACAGTGACTGTTATGCCCATTTTTCCTTACAAGTGATAAAAGTTAAACAATAAAACCCATGCAAGTGGTTTGTTATCAGTAAAACTGAAATAAGTGGAGGTAGAAAGCTAAAAAATGAGTCCATGGGAAATATGAGAGAAAGAAGTGCTTTTCCTGGGTAAAACAGATGGGCAGTGGCTCAGTTACTGGTTTTAGGGAGCTCAGTAACTGAAATGGAAACCATCAACTTTCTACTCAATCTTTCTTTGTAGTGAAACTTAATGAGCTATCCCCTTCTTTGTTTCACATGATGTGCTTTTTATCATGTGCCTTTTTGTAACAAATCCTTTCCTATTAATTTTGCATCCTCTTGGGTTTCTTTAATATTTTTCTGCAGGTAGATAGGTGGAATTCACTAAAACTATCTTTAGTGAAATGGAAGAAAAGAAAACCAGTGCAAGTTAACTTTTCAAAAAAATCCCAAATTTGGCTGTCAAGATTATGACCACCACAATAAACACAAAAGGTAATTTTAAAAAGAAATAAGTCACCGAATTACCCCCAACCCATAATTTCTCTAAGTTCCTATTCCTGAATTTTTTTTAGACCTCTTTGACATTTACTAATTTCTAATGAGTAAAAATAACCCATTATTTTCAGTAATGCTGGCTTAAGCTCTAGGTCAGCAACAACTAACCGTATTCTTACTTTATTTCAAAAGAAAAACAAACCACTGAAAAGCTTTTATAAAATCTAATTCTTTAAAAAAACTAAATGTATGACGCCGAACTTCCCAGTGGATAAGAAGTACATACTACTTACACCTGAGTATTTATTATCTGCAATAATAAAGTTTCTCTACAGTGGTAATATTCCAGTGTCTCACAAACTTCAGAAAATAAACAGTTATTTTGCTCATGTGCAATACAGTATAACTACCAGGATGTGCATAGAACTGATAATAAAATGTTATAAAAAGTAGACTGTTATTAAATGAAGTATTTTCAAGAACTGATACATTCCCAAAAATATCTCTGAGCCATTTTTTCTGTATCTTTTATCTTCTGTAATTTTCTATTTATTCTAGATTCATAATAATTTTGACAGCCATGAATAATAATAATAAAAAGGAATGGATAATTGTAGAGAAAACTTGATGTTTAGGTGGGCAGTTAGCAGATGATCGCATATGCTCATCTACCACCATCCAATTTACATGCACAACACACTTATGCTATTTTCAGGTAGCTGAGGAAGACTGCTAGCCAACAAACTATTTTGTTAGTAGTTTCCTACCATGGCATTGCTTTGTGCATGGCAAATTATGAATGCTGAGTGCACCAAAGCACAGTATTGATTCAGTGTAGCAGTAGACACTTTCATGGTGTTCTGACGGAAGATAGTTCTAAACTGTACCTTTCTAAGTGACAACTCCACATTTGTGTCTGCACTGAAATTGTATTTGGCAACAGCTTCTCCAATCTCTCCAATCTGTGCAGGGGGAGGTGGCCTGGCAGGCTGTGCTTTTTCTGGAGGAGAAAGTTTCTAAGGAAAAAGAAAACCCACAGATTTTCATCATTTTCATGTGGTTTGTGGACTTATTACCCAAATTAATTAAAGGAATTAAAACAGAGAACAAACCTCAACATAAGAAATTGGGAATATTCCAACTCTTCCATGGTGCTCACCCTCATACCAGTTTTGATCAATTTTCCTGAGGATATAGACAGTATCTCCTTTCTTAAAGGACAGCTCTCTGCAACAAATTTATTTATATCAGATGTTTAAAGCTGTACATTTAACTCTTCTACCTTCATAGTTCCTGAGATCTTTACAGTTTGGAACTGAAACAGAATGTAACAACTACACATTTGAAGAAAAAGTGTCATGGCTGTAGTCATTTACCAGTTGATCATACCATATAAAATCAAGTGATTCACATTTATGAATCCTGTTTAGTACCTGCAAGTTATACAGGCCTGTTTTACACTGTGATTCCAAGGAAATATTGCCTGTTACTTCCAGAGCAATAAGTATAGCATCTGCATGCAAGTATGATGTCTTTTGGATCACCTGTTTAAGTACTGCTTTTATGACAGGCATCAGAAGGGTGTTCTTTATGAAATCAGTAGGGAAAACCAGAAAGTATAACCTGTGTCCCCATGGCCTATCACTACCTTTTCATAGCAAAACATGGTGTGCTTCTGCTCTACCCATTCTTTTTCAAGACAGCTATCAGAAGCCTGAAGAACACAGGATCATGTTCTCACCATTTCTGATATTCAAAACCTGTGATACGTTTAATGTTGAATACCAAAAAAGGGGAATTATCAAAATCACTAAAAATATTTTCAGATCCTGGCCTGGGAGATCTTTGCTGCATCATCCATTTGGCTTTTCAACAGCTAAGCTGCTGTTCAGATAATTTATGTTCTGAGTTTTTCCCAGACACAGCTAATGTAATTCTAGTGTCAATGTTGGGCCATATCTGAATATTGTTAAATGCCCTGGATCATTGGAACAACAGCAGGAATGAAATGTAGGCACTCTACTTCAACTCTCTCATATCCTAAATTAGTGGTTCCTCATCCTGTTTTTCTTATGGACCACTGCTGTCTTGGTATGGTACTTGTCACATCCTGCAGACAGCCTGCGTACATTAAGACAGACAGAAAAGTGTTGAAGAATTATACAGAATTTTTATAAGCCCATGACAGTATTTAAAGCACTTTACCTTGTGTAACCTGAATAGAATTCACAACAAATGAAAAGCATTTAGTGGGTGACCCTCAGGACTCATGCTCTAGAAGGTTGAAGATGCACAGCCATTCATGTGTTCTAACAGATACAATGGAGGATATAATAATTTAACAGACATTTTTATTATGACTTCTCACACAGTTTGCTAACGCAGGGACTACTGTGACAGCAAGCAGGGTCCTTGTTTCCGTGGCATTTGCTGTTGAAACTGGCTTAAATAGCAGTTAAGCTGCTACAAGTTCAAGAAAGAGTTTGCTTGAATTATGAATTCTTAAATGAACAAAAGTCTAATACTTACTTAGAAGTCTGAGCTTTAAAGTCATATACAGCTCTAGCTGGCAGTTTCTGAAAAGCAGGCAAAGTGATTAATACATTCAGATAGTATTACTATATGATAAACATGTTTCAACTTTGAAAAAGGTGACCAAGACTCAAAATGAAAAGGATGTGCTCTACAGTGGTTCTTGCAGAAACAGGCAACTAAATATATGGCTTTCATATTTTTTTAAGGCAGTTAGGTGTTTGGGACTTAGTTTTCTAAAAACAGAAATAGCAGCTAAATTTTAATACAGACTGCTTTTCAGTTTTATGTTTAACAGAACTACCAAAGTAAATAAAAAAGTTAACTACGCCAATGTAACTTGTAGACAACTAGCTTTCTAGGTACAACGTAAATTCGTGTACCTAATATTCTGTCATATTTTAGATGCCTTCTCTGTTAAACTTGTTACCTTTAGGCTAATTTCAATTGCAAATACTGCATTACTTCTATATATATACATATATATATGAGAAATTACTCCGACAACTGGAAATTATTTGGAATATTTTGAATTTCTATAATCACATTCATAGTTTTAAGAAAATTTGAGAAACACAGGACTGGAGCTGATCTCCTGAGTCATCTGTGCAGCTCTTTTGCTGTTACAGGCAATCACATTATATCACTCCTTTCGTATATTTATCAAGTTCTATCACGAAGTACATGCAAGCTCAATGTTGTTTCAAAAATAAACCTGTTAAACAGCCCTACCTCTCCTCACCTGTGCAGCTGACACTTAAACTTTCACTGTTTTCAAAGCTCTGCTGAAAACACGAACTGTGATCCGGCCCAACAGCCTCACTCATCTAGTGTCTGCAGCTGGCAAGTAACCATCACCAGATACTTCAGAGGAAGGTGCCAGAGATAAACAGTATTATATGAGGGTACTTGGTAAAGTTCTTCAGTGTTTCTCTGCAAGTACTTACACAGATAAGATTGCTACATTTAAAAAAATTTCTCTCTAGGATATACTAGCGACTAGCATGAGCTGATTATGCTATTTCTAAGAGATGCTACTTGTATGGAAGTAAGGGTGTACATCTTTTTATGAGAGGAATAAAAAGGGACACTTGTAAATTTTGCATTTTACTTTTATTCCCTATGTTCTTGACTGGGTTCTCTCCCTACTTGTAATTTAAAGGCTAGCAAATTTAGCATACCCAGAACATTATCTTCACTATAACAAACACGTTCCTAAACTTATTGCAGGGTTCCTGTCAATTTGAATTTTGTAATGATAATACAATTTTCCATGACAGGTCTAAGATAGCCTACATTTAAAACCATTTTCCTGTTCCTTGCTGTTGTTAAAAACAGCCTTTTAGACAGGAGGTGATATTCATATCAACTATAGCTAAGCCCTTTTCACTCTCTTGATTTTGGTACAGCTGGTAGTATAACTACTAAAGCAAATAACAGAAGAAAGGGGATAATATTAAAAGAACAGTGGAGCTGATTAAATACAAAATACTTTGCACTTTACAAAGCACACTGGAAATACAGAAGCCTTTCTTTCATCTTTTAAAATTACAATGATCTTAAAATGGCTTGTAATTTAAGTATTTTATGTATTTTCAAACTGAAAGATGACTTTCTATGTCATGAGATTCTTTAAAAGGAACATTTGTTATCTCTATTTTGTAATGAGTAGTCTTTTTTTCCTTTTTTTTTAAATCAGACTCTTAATCAAATTGCAGCAATATAAACATGTCAGTGGACTGTAAATGGATCTGAATCCAGTTCTAACTGTACCACCATTTAGCAAGGTAGATAGCCCAGAGCAAAACCTTAAATATTAGCCATTAAAATATAGTACTCTCTTATGCTGCCATTATTTTGTACAATATTTTAATAAAAATCAATCAAAAATGTTAACAATCCATGGTCTGTAGATGTTGGTTAATTTAAATGTACTTTATGATTGAATAAAATCCCTGAAGCCTGTTTGGAGTGCATTTGCAGTCACATCTATAATTATTCTTAAGATACTAAATAATACACTTCATTTTTCAAAGTGCACTTTTCAGTGATACTTTGTGTTACTTTAACATTGGTATGCCTGCTTCCACTACCTCTTCCAAAGCACTAATACGAGTAATCAGTATATAATTACCATCACCAATTGTTACAGACATTAGTGTTTGCTATTAGGAGAAGTGGTTTTGTCTAACACATCAACAAGAGTGATTTTCCTTCTCCAAACAAAAATAATGGTGAGATACAGATGTTTTGCATCAAACTACCAAGGCAGTTTCTTTATATAATGCTTTAAATCTCAAAAGAGCCTTTCCCCAGTCACATCTGCTCTTCTCTGTTCCAAACACCCTCTCTGGTCAACTTTGACAGAATCTATCAATAAATAGTAAATTTATGTTCATATCTATTTAATAGTAACTAGAAGTCCACAGTTTATCTTACAAAGCTTGACATTATTTTAATTTCTTGAAGTACCAATCCTCCTTAATGGAAAAGGAAGATGCTGTCCCACCTGATGATCTGATAAGTAACTGTTCCTTTGGTCTGCATTATTACAGTGTCTTAAAACCAACACAAATCTTGTCTCAAATATGTTATCAATTTCCCATATGGATGTTCCTGTGTTATTTATTGTTGTTTCACTACCTCTTTGTCTGTAGTTCCTCTTCTCTCCCTTGGAGTACATCGTCCCACATCAGTGAAAGCAGAAGAATAGCTTCCAGGAGACTCCTGGTCTACTGAAAACAGAAATGATGTGAAACTACAATAAACAAAACCATTCAAATGTGTAATGCTGCTTGGTTTCATTAGGGAGGTGAAAAGATATTGAAATCTATTATTTTACCTTTAATAGAAAGAAAAGCACATGATATGATGGTTAAGTGCACCTTTAAAGAAAAAAAAAAAGACACTAACTCTTAAGCAAAGGCAATGGCTGTCCTCTGATCCACAGCAGAAGAAAAGATATGAGAGGGGATCGAGAGAGCAAAATTATGCCTCACTGTACAAAGGGATGCACCCCTACTGCGCCAGGTGGAAGACATGACAGCAGTACTGGGACTTCATCAGGTTGCATGACACTGTTTTGGAATGCCAACAATATAAACACATAATTACATGCACAAAACATGATTCAAGCATGCTTCAATGAGAAAATAGTGAAGTAACATTGTTTCCTCCTAAGTGATCTAAGATGCATTTCTACTTTACCAGGGGCACATGTTAGGCAGCACAAGGGAATTTAAAAAGAAGTTATTTCATAAAAACAACTCTGTTTTAAGAGATGGAATACAAATCATGACTCACCAATCTATGTGGCAGACTTCTCTAAAGTACAGTTTACCAATGTTTTATTACAGGATGGTATCTTTTCATGTTTTAATAAGAATGAAATGAAAATCTTATATATTCTACAGCTCTGCAAGTTGCCAGTGTGAAATGAAAATAGAACTATTTCAGACCAGAGGATGAAATGAACTGCCTCTCAACTTCTCAGAAGTGCTGTTTTAGTCTCCTACTGCCACAGTGATATCTGCTAGTGAAAACACGTGATAGATGTTTGTCTTCTTTGACTTCATTCCCACAATCTGTTCTTACCAAGTTCATGTATTTCCAAAGGAGTACAAGTGGTTAAAAAGAAAGGAACTGAAAGCACCTCATCCATTATGTTGGGGTCTTACAGAAAAAAGATGTAAATGGTCTCTAGTGGGCTACAGGCTAAACCGAAAAAATCAAAGCTATTGATAAATATACTGTAGGCAAAAAAATGAGATCATTGTATTATTTATGCCATTGGTTCCAAGCATGTCACTCACAGCAAGTATATCACAGTCCCAGTTCTGGAGAGGTTTCTTGATATGGCATGTATTCCTGAATGAGGATCTATGCTCACTGCACAAACCTAAAGATACAATGCCTCCAACCATATCTATTATTTTTTTTCTTTAATCTCTAGCAGAAAGAGAAGTACATGGGAAAGGAGTGAAAATGAAGAAGCTTTAGGATAAACAATTTCCTGTATTTCTCTACAGCTCCTTATGCAGCCAGTAGTGGTAGTTTTCAGTGGTTTTTTTGCTATGACCTTGGGGTCTCTTTGTGATGGTGGTTGTAAGAGATCCACAGAGATCCAAAAATAGGAAACTTGATTAGAAGTAGAGCTAAGCCATGACTGGTGCTGATGGAAATCAATGGAATATTCTGCTTTACTCATTCTCCACGCCACTTTAAGGATATTAATGTTGACAGAGTGTATCGCTTTCCTTATGCCAGGCTCCTTCATAGCTGAAGAAGCTATCAGAAGTCCACTGTAATATGTGACCAGTGCAATTTCCAACAACTTCAGTCTCATCATGTAGTATGGTCAGCCAGGGTTAATCATGATCAGGCCTCATGTATGACTAATTCAATCCTAAACTGCATTTTACAGCCCTTTTTTACCAAATTTTCTGTTCTAAATATGTCTGTTATAACTAGTTAAGAAGAGATGATAACAGTTTGAATTCTGATTTCTCTTGAAATACATATTTACTATTGTGCTACTTGCAAAAGTTACATAAAAAGATATGAGAATAAAGATAAAATGAGTCTGATCAAATATTGCTTAATTTGTATGTTAAAGATATTTTCTATTACATCCAGTGGTGATTTCAAGAATAGCTTTGTAATTTCATTAAATTCTCAAAGATACTCTGTCAAAGGACTCTATGTCTAGAAGCAGAATTCTTGAACTAAGAAATGGTACCATTGAAAAAGAGAAATAAACTACAGACTTGCCAAAGATATTAATCTAAGTTATCTACAATACAGTTTTGTGCACTCCTGCTGTGGATCTAGTTTGTTTCTTTTAATATTATAAGGTTAAATTTTAAAAACATTTTAGGCTCAAGTAAATGTTTTTGAGAAAAAAAAAATGCAGTAGAAGGACAAACAACTCAAAGCAGTAACTTAAACATTGGTCATACTCACCCTGACAATTTCATTTAAGTTTTGATTATTGAGAACTTCCCTTTTAAGAGGATAGGAAATTTCCTAAAACTTCACAGATATATTAAAATTCTATGAAAAGAACTAGTTTTGCTGCCACAGAAATTGGAAATCTATTCTTTGAACAGTGGAAATGGAAACTTCCTAAAATGACCTTATCATCTATTCACAAAAAGTAATATAAAGCATCGGATTCATAAGAAAACAGAATCAACTTTCTGTGATTTTTATCACTTACATTTAACAAAATAACACATTTTGGATGCAGATTTTTTTTTTTTTAAATTAATACAGGAAGGATTATCTGCATATTGTTTTCAGTTTGACCAGCATCTTATGATGCATGAATTCCCCTTCTGTTAGATATTTTTCTGGGGGAAAAAACCCCACATTACTTAATAACATCACTGTAATTTATAGAACTAATAACCAATTCATTGAAATGCACTGTTACTTCAGTTGTCCTGACTGCTGTAATTTGTGAATAGATAGCAAATTTGTCTATCCTCAACACCTACATGAAAATGACATCCTTCATTAAGGATTTTGTGGGATGAAAGCTTCTTATAGACGACACAAAAATGGAATGAGAAAGGGTGGGAAACACAGGGAGTAAGGCTGGATAAGTCAATCACAAGGATAGAGGAAGAAAGTTAATCCACCTTGGAAACACAGTGCACTATCGTTGTTGTTAGTTGCATCCATGTCTGGAAAAGAGGCACTAAGAGGTAATCTTCCACAATCATTCTGGTACAGTGGACAATGGATAGCACCATCTTGAGGCAGTGGATGAAAAGGCTGGTGCATGGGACTCTTTTTCAGAGCTTTAAGAGATGAATTCCTTTCTGGAATGTCTGGAAGCAGCTCAGTAATAAGTCTGTGTAATATACTGTTGTCGGGCAAGCTTCCCCGTCTTTTTTCAGCTTTAATTTGGTCACAGATGTCTTTAAGTGCAGAATCTAGTGCTTCAAATACAGATGACTTGCATTTTTTCTTTTCAGCTTGTTTTTTAGGAGCTGCACTTTTTTTCCTCCGGAAAGGCACTGGACTGACCAGGAATGCTATCTTAGAGAGGCCAGATTCTGCTTCCTGTCTCCTTGGATCTTCAGTGGTTTCTTGCTTAGCCCTTTCATGTTTTAGCATGGTGGTGAAGCGGGTGTAGGATGCTGGGCATCGCCCTTTGCAGGAGCTGATGAGATGCCTGTGGTGGTGGTGATGGTGGTGGTGGTGATGGCCTGATCCATAAAAGCTTTCAGATGATGTGAAGGAAAAGTGATCAAAGTCACTTTCACTACAAAAGGATGAACCCTCTATCTGGATAAAGTCACTGAGATCAGAAACCACTCCATCTTGATCACTGTCTGAAAAATCTATATGTGATCGTTGTGGCTCATCACTGGTCACTTCAATATGAATTGGCACCAGGGTTTTAGACTTGTAGCTCTGTTGTACCTGAGAGGGATGTCTGACTGGAGTTTCTTCTTCCAGCAAGGACTCGATAGAAAATCGCCTCTTTGGACACAAGCCATTTTTAGGAGGCTCTAATGTAGCAGCTGTCAACATTTCATCACCAAGGTTAGGCATTGATTTTGACTTCTGAATTAATTTTTCAAATTCAGATATCCTGGTTGGCACCATGTCTCTGGGCACCTCTTCAGTAGAAGACTCTCTCCAGCCTTGAAGAATACCTTTGTGCTGTTCTTTTTCATACTGCAGTATTCTGGACTTCACAGAACAAATCACCTCAGAATTCATCAAGTCCTTGCGATTGATGCGGTGCATCTTTTTGTACATTTTCAGGAAACCTGGAGCATCGTGTGCAGATCTGTGACGAACTCTTGACCTACCACTGCCACGGCCCTCAACATATGGGGAGTTCCAGTTCATTGAGCAAACTTCTTTGGAGTCCTCCTCACATAACAGAGAGCCCATGCTTTCAGCCTTGGCCTGTGCATCAGGAAAGCTGTCACGATCATCTGTTAACAGATCATCACAGCTACGAGATTTTCTCTTTGGAGAAGCATTTTCTTCTGTGCTGCTCCAGACTTCTGCATTTTGGCGAGTCATTTGCCAGCCATTCTTGTAGCTGATTGCCCTTCTTGAATCATTTGGAACAGCTAAATGTTGCCTGTAAGTGCTACAGTAATCTAATTCATTTGAGGTGTTGTGGTTGTGTACTGAATAACTTAAAAGGGATGGATATACTTTGCTAATATCCCCACCTTTATAATCCATAGAGCAGCATGGTAAAAAAGAGACATTGCCAGAAATTAAAAGATTCAGAAAGTTGGAATTAGCATCAGTAAGCATAAGAAAGACTAGAAAAGAAATAGCAATTAGTGCATCTATCAACATAGTCTCCTACAGCACATAGTCTCCTATAGCCTGGGACAGCAAAGCTAATAATTAAGTTACTTTACTGCTGTAAAAATGCACTCATGAATATCTGAACAATAAAAAGAATTTCTTATGAATTATGGTGATGTTATCCCCTCTGCAACCCACCCCCCACCAAAGCAACATAAGAAAACAAGCATTAATACCGATTTTTAAGCAGCTCAACAGAAAATAAAAGCTGCAAAGGATTTAAAGACGAAGCCAAACAACAAATATAGACCTCAGTCAAATACTGACTTTTCCAGCATTCTGAAAGAAGCTGCTCAAATTGTTAAGCTCTATAATGCTCAGAGAGTTTGCAGCATCTGTATTCTAACATAGTTAAGATAAAGATAAATCTTTATATAGGATCAAATAGGAAATTGCTCCAAGTTTTTCATAGCCCACTCTTTCCCTGTGTGATAGCATCTGAACGGAGTGGTGTTTTCTACAGCTTATGGAGGGCAGAACAAGGCAGCTCAGGAACTGCTATCCAGGTGTAAAGGAAGATGTATCAGTTCACTTAGCCTAACCACCATGTAGAAAAAACAGTAACCCTTAGATTGACTTCCATAACAAAGTCTGAGTTTTCAAGCAAGTTTTAAGATACATTTTTATGTGCATGCTAGATACAGAAATCATGATGAGACAAAGTTGAACTGTGGTCTTTCATAATTGCACTGAACTTTCAAACACAATCTCAAATGGCAACATTCAGTTCAGGAAGGATGCTTCAAACTGCTCAATCTGCTTTCTAGAGAAAATTGAATCTGGATCAGAAACCAAAACACTGGACTTCAAAATTCGTGGTCATCAAACAGTTTATAATGTGCTCTTTCTTTAAAAAAATGGTTAATTTCAAGAAAAAGTAACATTCTACAGGTGTCGTAATGCTGGGAGAATGGACTGACACAGTTAGGACACCTTCTGAAAGTTAATTAGCTATGGCAGATATTCTGAACTGAAGGATTTTCAAACACAGAGAATGCTTAACTTTTGGTAGTGCTTATTATTGATGGTGGAGTCAAAGGTACATGCAGGTAAATGGAATTTATGAACTTTTTACTTCCTGGCCTGATACACAAAATGCATGAGCTTATCCACTTTTAAAATTACTGCTGTAACACTGGGTTTAAAATACATTTGCTTTCCACTACTTCACTCTTACTATTCCTCACTGCTTTTCTTTGTCTCATTCTGTTGCAGACTGGATATTATGTTCTTTTCAATGGGAATTTACTTTTACAGAGGTTTACTGATTAGTATAGCTACAAAATAGAGCAATTAAGTGAATAATAATAATAATGATAATAATTTCAGCAGAAAGAGACATACTGTATTCAGTGTTACTCTATATATTACTTCCATCATATGTTTTACTGGAAACCTTTTGTCTTTCTAGAAAAAAATCTACCCAAACCACCAAACACAAATGAGCAACTGATTCTGTGATCTCTTTTCTGGAGAGATGTGAAAACCAGTAATAGAACAGTGAGTTACTTCCAAAAAAAGAAGCTAATTAGTTGTATCAGCTGTACTAAGTACTTCCAAGGATTTACAAAATAAAATGTCAGACTATGGATGTTTGGTTGATTAACTTAGGTCCTGATAACTGACAATGTCTAAGACATCAGTTATAGATTTAAAAGGCCAACTATCCTGGAAACATATCTTTAGTCTTAAAGGTCATTTGTCTTGATTTACTTTCTCAGTATACTAAAACCAGTTTTAAAATCACAATAAGACAGTAGTGGAGTTAATAAAAATTTATGGGTTTATATATTGTGGTAGAATTTGTAGTCTTCATTTACTCAATTTTTTTTGTTTAGAATAAGCAGTTGAAACTGTTACTTGTTACAAATTCATTTTTTCATCTTAAAATTACACACATAAGAATAAACAAGTTAGCCTTTCATGAAAGACCCAAAGTTGTTGCTTTATATCACATCTCCTGGGGAAATGCCCTGAACAACAGTGGGCAGTTGCATTTGCCACCAGTGTATTGTACAACAAACACATCATCAGTAGTTTGCTAACAAACACAGCCTCCTCTTACCTTTTGCTCTCGATGGAGAAGAAGGAGACGAGCTAGTTAAAGGCTTTCTAAGGGTGGTACATGGGCCTTGTGTGTCTGTACGGCCCAGGTTAGGTCTGTTTGCGTTCTGATCACTGTGTGCCCTCTGATGACTTACAGTAGGTTCTGACTTCCTTCGCTTTCTGTAGTCACTCGCAGTACTTGCAGAACTACAGAAAGAAGCAGTGTAAGTAGCAGTCTAACTCTGAGACCAGGATTTTAAAAAGTAAGTTCATAATTATATTATTGGTTTATAAATTTAAAAATGTCAGAACAAATACATCAAAACCACATAAAGCGAAGAGGCACTGGTCTCACATCTTGCAGCATATTTCACAGAAAAAAGATAATTTGTTCCTCACCTGACTGTTTTAAAGTTTTGTGCAAAATTACTATGCCCTTTTCTTTGAAATAAATGCATCAAGTTTTTTTAGACTATTTGTTGGAATTAGAATTTCAGGGCAAAGATAGGGAAAAGAGACTGAGAACAGTTAAGGCAGCATGCTCAGGGAAACAGCACTGAGGGTTCTGCAGGAGGTAAGGTTAAATGATAAATTACTGCTGTTGGGACAGAAGCTTGGCAATGTTAGTGAAAAGACTCAGAACACAGGATAGTTTATTTTGAATGTAAAGAGTAAGTCCTGGCAAAACTAAACCAAAATCTACACATCAGTATCAAAATACGAACACTTTCTCCATGCATCTCTCTATTTTGTCAGTGGCTCACAAGGTGAGTGTTACGATCTGACTCTTCACATTTGCTGATTTCAGTTCCCAGAGAAGACCCTTCAGGCTGGATAATCTGTGACTGCTGAAATAATGTATAGTAGTTCTTACCTACAGGGCCTGTCCAGGCCTCTGTCTGTTGAATAGTGATGATATAAGGAAGTCTGTGAAAACAAATACATGGACATGTTAAATGTTTGTATTTGAAAAAAGAGTGACATTTTTTGCTTATCATGTTTGATTACTCTTTGTTACTTTGTGACAAATCCTATAAAAACACACCATGATTATTAACATCCTGGGCACTCTGGCACAGATACAGCGATATTTCATGAGAATAGTTATGCAGCTTTTAATGAACACTGTTAGATTTCATTGCCTATTCTACTTCAGTGTTGTTTTTTTCTTTAAAGCAAAGCTAAATAATGATCCAAAATCATAGTTTTCCACGCACTTTTCAAAAATAGATATAGAACAGCTGAAACAAACCTTTAGTATAGAAACATAAAAATCTGAAAATAACTCCTTGATGTGCAAGTGAGGTCTGCAAAGCTTCTCCTTCCCCCCAAAGTTACTCACCAAAATTCCACAATCAATTATAGTCAGAAACTTTTGTAATTCCTATGATGTTTATAGTCACACCTTATAATCCTGATAAGAACAGTTCTTATCATAGTACATCAGTCATTGCTTATGGAGTTACAGAAGTAGCTACTGCATGAACCCTGGAAGATGGAATGGACTACTGCTCCATAATTTTAAAACTAGTATAAAGTCAACCTTACATGACTACAAAGTTTAAATCAACCATTTCAAGCCTTCAGTCAGAATACTGCATTCTGGTATCTAGTATGAATCTAGAACAAACTGCACAATCCCTGGGGTATTTCTTCATGGGTACAAAGCAGTGAGGTTCAAGAGTTAAAGTTGTTTCAAGTTCCTGGCATGTCATTTCAGAGCTAACCCAATGAACTAGAAATAGAACTATCATATAGATTTTCAAGCTGCAGGAAGTATTTTTCCCTCTATAAAGAGCCTTCTTGACTTTTTCTCTGTATGGAAAAAACTTTGTATTGAAGGACTGCAGAGATAATAGCACTCGTGGTCCGTATAAGTGCTTTCTTTTGCCAGGTTTTTTTTCCCCTCGGTGATCTGAATTTCAAGTTCATGAATTGCAACTTCACCAAACTTGCTAACTGACACCTTGGTATACCTCTAGAAGTCATCTGTTGTCTAAGAATACTTGGGAACAGATTTTCAGAGGACTGTGTACTTAAATGAGTACATTCAAGAGTAAGAGTTTAAACTACTTTTACAGGTGGGAGACTATAAAAACAATATGGTTGTTCAGTTAGAGTTCAGTTGTCAGTGGGCTTTGTTATTTAAGACCTGCATCACATACTAAGTGATCCCATCAAGACACTTACTGAAGCTTTAATTTCTGTTTTATACTAAAATTTATTATACTGTGTGACAGGGAGAACCACACAAACATGCCACAGTATGAAACAAATGTTATCTAAAACTTGAGCTAAGATAATTCCAATTTTCTCAGTACTTTTTAATCTAAATCACATCCAAAACAGGTAAGAAACCTTTTGACTTTTGGAAAGAATGGCAGCTGAGGTGTAAACAGTTAAAAGATGCTAGTAATCTGAAGACTTCCTATTTTATTTCTCAATATTTGGAATGTGTATTGGATTCATGATTAGTACACTACTGATCACCTCTTTGGTCCAAACAAAATATCATGCTATTAGTTTTTTCAAATACATTCTGAGGAAGGTATTTATTCCCAAGTCTTTCGTGTTCATACAGTTCATATTTTCAAGTTTTTCTTTACATCCTCTGAAAGCTGAAAAGTGCTTTGTGACAACTCTCTCACCACTAGCGAAATTCAATGAGTTTAGGATATACAGCCAATATTATGAGGTCTGTCTACAATAAAACCACAGAAGCCAGATGCAGAGTTGCTCACACCAACAGCCAGTATAATCACAGTGATGCAAAGGCCTCAGGTCAGCGTGCTTCCCTACCCTACCCATAAAACATCGAGCCTGTTCTGGAAAACGTCAGAGCCTTATTTCAAAACTGGTCACAACTATCTTCATCTCGATCAGTCACTGCCATGGCCTGGAACCAGCAGAGGACGGAACCTCAGGATCACAGGTGATCTCTGTTAGAACTGTTGCACGAAGTGGTATAAACATTGCAGATAAATTGTCATTGTGGGGTTTTTTTGTGCAGGTGCCAATCACTTCCACTAGCAGACATCTGTGACATGATAGAGGCCAAATGGCCACGAGGCAGGGATTACTTTCCACCATTTGTAGTGGCTCCAGGGCTATAGAGAAGAGACCATGATGTAACTTCCAGGGGTGGAACAGATCCCTGCTGCCTTCTATGGAAGGCAGTGGGTAAATCACACAATGGAAACCACACCAGAGGGAACTTCTTTATCCACAGCATTCTCCAGGCCATAAACAGTGTGTTAGGGATCAGCCTAAGATGTCTAGAAACGTGTGCCATGCTGAAATTAACTGCTGGGTTACTGTATGGCTTTTGCTTTTCATCCTTTAAGACCCTCCTATCACCTTGAATGTAACTTGCCCTTCTACCCTTATTTGATGCCACATTTGAAGTTTTCTCTATATGAAAGACACTGTATGTTGCACATTCTATAATACTAATTTTTGCCATGGGCGTATGTTATTTTTTTATAGTGTGTGGAATTTACACGTTCTACACCCAGGCAGAGCTTCTTGGACATGGTATGTAGGGAAAGGTGAAAGTAAACAGTGGATATGATTGTTTTTTACTGCTTGTTTTACTGTATGTAGCTGTCCTATCAGCTCTCAGGTACTTATTGACCCACTTTCATGTGGTTCAACTGAACACATCTCCCCTACTCCCCCATCTCCAAAGCTAATTAGTCATCTTCCAGAATAGTCAATATTGCCCTACATGAGTAAAAGCCATCTGACAAAAATAATTTAATATTGGAGATAACTACTCCAAACTACCAAATACAGACTTTTTTGAATAGCCTGATTTGGTTTTACTAAAAAATGAGATGTATTTTTAAAATTAAGCCTATCTTTTAGCCATTTCCATGCATCAAGGCTTTAATAAGGACCAGAAATGAAGTTAGAAAAGTAGACAAAAGTTGTAAATAACAAACAGGCTTGTTTGCCTAATGGCTCTAATACTTTATCAAGTTATTTTGAATAATGCCCTCCTTCCCCAACCTCCACTGGAGAAATATTAATTTGTTGTAGCTTTTGAACATGATTTATGATATTCAAAGATCATTAAAGTTTCAAAATTAAAGACAGAAGTTTTTGTAAGTTAATCAAAGAGAAAACCAGTATTACCTAATAGCCTTTTTACCCAGACCTGCTGAACATGGGAATATTTCAAATAGTCATGTTAGGGCTTTTAAATTGTCTTCCTTGATATACAGAGAACTAAAAAGAATAAGCAAAGGCCTAGAAGCTTATTGTTTCAGAGAACTGGACCCAAATTTCCCAACTATGAGGTTTTTCTAAATACAGAGAGAGCTTAAAACCAAACCAGAGTAATTTGCAAACAATTAACAATTTAAGACCACAATTTGAGGTTAAGTTTTGGAGAGACTACAGAAGATGAGAGTGAATCACGAATACAAATGAAGTAAAGCCACCATATGAAGTAAAGTTGCCATTAGAGGAGTCACTGACTTTTGCCCTTATGCTGTAAAAATGGCAAGGGAGTGGAGAAGGAATGGGAAGCCTGAATCTCTCCCACTCAGAGTAGGGCAATGACAGCCCACTACCTGATCTTGATGAATTTTATTTGGAGTAGCAATAGTTCTAAATTACAACAGGATTATTAATTGCATTTTTTATCTGATTAGCTCCATAGCCATAAATACTTAATTGGAGAAATGACACCTTAGCCACAAAGGCTTTCACTTGACATACAGAATTTGAAGTCAGATATTTCAATTAAAAAATACTACCTGTAATGATGGATTAACTGTGCAATGCACCTGCCCAACTCTGAAAAGTGGGAATTTGTCAAAGAGTTAGAGACGTATGGACTGTTGTGTAATTCTGAGTGTTAATCTCTGAGAAGTTTTGGGGATAAGGACTCACAGTTCCTAGGATAATAAGATCAACATCCAAATGCACTAGTGATCTGGAAAGATATGAAGACAAAGATACAATGATTGTGAATTAAAAATGTCTCATAGCTATCAGAAGGAAACCACTAAATTTTAACAAACTTAAGACATAAATGGCGAGCATTCCAACCCTTCTTCCCAAGAGAATCATCTGAAAAAGAATCATTCATTTACCTCATTGGAAACACCAGAAGAACTCTCTTGAAAATAGTCCAAAATCTTTTTAGGTGGCTGCATCATAAAAGCAGAAGCGTAGAGATGAAATGGAGTAGAAACAATGGCAGCAAGGAATGAAACATATGGAAAAGGTGACACAGTTAGAAACTAAGTGTTGACAGCATCAGATACAAAGAGTGACACACACAGGTAGAATGGAAGGATGAATGTGTTAAATTTTTTAAATTATCTTAATAATTAGTAACATTAGGTGGTAAAATTTACAACTGGGGTGGCTGAATAAATACCAGCAGTTTTTAATACTGATGAGACAGAAGTGTGTAAAGCACCACAGTTATGTTCTGCTGGAGAAATCTCAATCTGTTTTATCTTAAAGGTTATAATTATCAATAAAATATTGTTGACATATTGTTCATCAGAAGAATGTATCTGGACTGTTTCTGCCCACGTAGAGGGAGGAATGACAACAGGGCTTGAATGGTTGGATAAAGGGAGATAAAGAGTAATCAGTGAAAATGTGATACATAGTGGACAAAATGTGATACATTACTAGACAACAAAGTAAACCCAGATATATTTAACTTTTTTTAAAAAAATTTTCAGATATTATTCAATTGGTAATTTTTTAAAATGTTATGATTAAAAAAATTAAAGTTTTAAAAGAGTGTATATTGTTTGCTTTCTCTTCTGCTCTCACTGAAGTAGCTGGGAGTTCTGATTTTGGTTTATGGCTAGCTACAAAAAGTGACTAAGGTACCTGGTTCCAGAATGCCCTCCATGGCCCTGTGTCAAGTGCTCAGGCTCCTCCATGTAGCCTGGCAT